GATAGACAATGAGATATATTCAGTTCCTCGTATATAGRATTTTGTTAAGTTGTTAATAYTGCTCCTGATTTYGTGTAACTACTTTGGCTATATAAAGCCTTGTACGTATAATGTAGAGAGAAGGGAATTCCACAAGATTTCACTTCACACTTCCACACCGAAGGTAAAAACCCCAGCAACGCCTTTACACGAGCCTCCGAGATCTCCGGATTGAGGACTCTTCCCACCAAAGTTCTTTCAAATTTCTTGAGGACTTTTTCCTTATTGATCGGTGGGAGCTGCAGAGGTTTTGAGCGTGTCGCCTCCCGATCCGCCTCAACAAGTCTCCCGAAGAACGCCATTTGTGTTAAAACCACCACCAAATAAGATTCACAGCCCGATTGAGGGAAAGGTAAGGAGTGAGTGTTTAGAGTGAAGGGAGAAAACCGACTCTATAACATATTATAAAGCCTTGGCCTCAGCCCTGTGATCTCTCCCAAACCTAGCATGATTTGATTCATTCCAGTAATTGAGGGCCAATCAATACCACGATTTACTCTCTTAGATTGACAGGGTCGGATTGCTCTCCGATCTTCTCTGTGGATCCATCTTAGGAAAGGAGATCCACACTCCAGAGTGGTGATTTGCATTGCATATTCATTAGATTGAGTGATCGAAAGGAGATTGGTATCTCTGTTATCCCCAGAATCTTTCCCTTGACCCCATCCAAAATATGTGTTATCGCGATCCAAATCTGAGCGGATCCACTTTCGAGAAGCTACGCTCGCGTTGTTCTTCGGAGATCCATAAGCTCTGGTATCCCCGATCTGCCGAAAACCGTCGACAAAACTCCATGACAACCGGCCCAGCCGCCGCATCCTTCAGTCATCAAAATTAAAAAAAAAGTCGTTTCATCCGCCGAAGCGAGAGAGAAAACCCCAATGAATTATAACAATCCAAAAATCTGTCGTTAAATTTACTTTTGTATTCTGAAATTTTTTTTGTATAATGACCTTGTATCTTCGATTTAAATTAATGAAATTGTTAGATTGG